GGCGACAGTGTGGTGAGTGGTGCCTTACTCCAAGGAGACTTGGGGCTACCCCAGCTGGGCCCAGGGTCTCCATGGTCACTGCCATCCTCCCTAGGGAAGAGGAAGTGTGAGAATGTGGCCTAGACTTGTCTGAGCATTTGGAAACAGAGTTTGGGAATGCGGGAAGCACACGAGGAAGGGACTGAGGAGGAGGAAGGCAAGAAGACTGGGACCTAGGCTGGCCCTCAAAGAACTTGTTATCTAGTAGCAAGGTTCCTAACCTGGGTTCCTTTATGGGAACCTAGGACTCCCGAAATCGAATGGCGAGATGTTAGGTTTGTCTGTGCTTCCCCGGAGAGGGTTTGCAGCTTTCACCAGATTCTTAAATAGGTCCGTGAGAAAAAAAATTCTAAGTACCCCTGATGAAGGGTAAGACTGGTGCACAGGTAACCAGTACGCAAAGCAGATGGTTGTACTGACACTCAGACCGTGTGCCAGGGGTCAGAGGCCAGCCGGGGCATACCCGGTGCGGGCGGGGAACTTTAGGAGGTGCTGAGGAGGGACTTCCTAGGGCGGCAGCACTAGGGGGCCTCAGGAGGGCCGGGGCAGGTTTGGACAGGGACAGGAAGGGTCATCCCTTGCCCTCCGTCTGAATCACACCTCAGCCATCCCAGAGCGATGACAGACCGTCCTACTTTAACCGCCTTCCCCAGGCCTACTCAGTGACCTCCTTTAAGAAGAATTGTTTTAAGATTTGAGAATCAATTTGGTTAACAAAGTGCAGAATGACCTTTTGGAAACCAGAGCACTTGTCGGCCTGTTTAGCATTCTGTTCTGCCAGGTGGGAAGTCAGCTTGTTCCCAGTATTTTTGCACTCGGGGTTAGGAGAGGTGAGACGCGCACAGAAAGTGCTGGTTGGCGTGAGAACCCGTTGCACTGTCTGTCTCGGCTGCGGAGCTCATTCCTTTCAGCAGCATCTTTCTCGTGCCCGTCCCCAGAGCGCGCATGAAAATGTACATGCGTGCGGGTGCGTGCATTTTGCCACGAAGACAAGTCCGTAGTGAGTTGAGACCGATACCGGTGCCTCATAGCCAGCGGTTTTCCCGTATGGAGACTTTCTTCTGGACATGCTTTTCTGATTTTAGGAACTCTTCATTTTCGACTCTGCCGGCAAGGAGCTGTTTTCTGAAATGCTGGATAAATTGGCAAGTAGTGTGCGGTCTATTTCCTAACCACCGTTACCTCCTGCCAAAAGGTTTGCCCCTGACAGCGTTCACGTGGAAATGTCACTGCACCGTGGCCATGGAGAGAAGCTACCGCAGCAGAATTCTTTATGGGGCCTTCCTCTAGCCTGGGACTTGCGGCCACGTGGGAGGAGTGGCTAATGTGCATAATTGCCCCTCCCCAGCTCTGGGGTGGCCAGTTCCGATGCGCCAGCGCCTGTGGCTCGGCCCTCCCAGCCCTCCCACCCCGGGGCCAACATCTCAGAGCAGGCCCTCCTGGTGGTGTCCTTTCCACACTCCTTCTCAGCCTCCCAGGACAGCACAGAATGTTCCCTTCTCCTCTGGGGAGCGCCCCAGGGGCCCTGTAATGAGGCTTTCCCCTTGGAGGGGCGGCACCGGAGCTTCCCTGGGGCGTTCCACTGGGGCTTGCTCTGAGACGTGGCCCTGCTGCCGCCCAGGGCGCAGATGGCCCCGTGCACTCCCTGTCCAGCTCCTGTCTCCCGATGCAGCCGTTTCCCTAATCTGGGCCATGAGCTGATTAGACGGAGTGAGTTCTCCAGAGCCCTCCCTGGCCTTTCCATGAACAGCCACGTTGTAATGGAAACTGTTTTCTGCCCTTTTTTGTTGTCTCATGGAAGTGATCTAATGATAATAACTTCACACAGGGCTGGCTTCATGCACGATGCATGATGTTTACCAAGTGCCTACTGTGTGCTCAGCCTGGCGCTGGGGCTGCCTTGCCCAGCAGAAGGGAAGATGTGTTTGGGCAGGTCTGGGCTACATGCCGCACATCATTCTCTCTCTCTCTCTCTCTCTCTCACACACACACACACACACACACACACACACACACACACACAACCCACGGCCAGCCCTGACTCTGGGCTCTCCTACTCCAGCTTCCACTTAATCCCAGGCCTATCCAGGGCCCCCTCACTGAAGCCTGGAAGAGGGAAGGCTTCTTGAGTTAAAACCATGCTGGGGCATCTCCTGCATGCACGCAGGGGAGGTCAGTGTCTTCTAGCAAGAGTTCAAGAGTTAGTCTGTGGTGCGAAGGGATCGTTAGTTTGGTCCAAGCTCCTCCCGTCCTGGACACCACCAGGAGCTGCAGTAGCCTTGTGGGGTGGGGAGTGAGCCCTCCAGAGCCCATCCTGGGCTGGCCTTCCAAGGATTGGAAAGGAAAGGGAATCCAGTCTGGAGGGAAACGGATTTGCCCCCATACCCTGGGAGGTTACTGACACCCCAGATATAAACCAGCCTTTAATTGTGCAGGTTGGGAGTGCCCAGAAACCAGGGCATGGCCAAGAGTCACATGCACCAAGGCAAGTGTCCACAGCCTGTGCAGGGCCATCCTTCGTCCCAGTGGCAGGCTAGGACATCCCTGGACTCTGAGCAGCCCCTGAAGGCAACAGCGCCTGAGCGTGCAGCCCTGGCTCTTAATTGGGACGTCGAGCCCTATCCAGTTGTCGGCGTGGTTTGGATTAGGGCTGTGCAGACACCACAGGAGAAGCAGAAACTGCCCTTTGCATTTTAAAAAGCCAGCCCTCATTAAGAAGATGCAAGCAAACAAGCTTCCAGGGACTGCTAATGAAAGGAAGGGCTGCCCAGCACAAAAGCATAACAATTCACATGATAGCGGCCCTCTTCCTCGTAAGAATGAGTGGAAGAAGGAATAATTAATGGGACCAGTGGCTGGCGAAAGCACAGTCCTCCTGTCTCTGCCTTCGTTGTTTTTAAAGCATATCTGACCTGAGCAAGTCACTTACCTCCCTGCACTCGGTTCTCCAGCTATAAAGTGGGACTATTCAGACTGACCCTGCCAAGTTGGGAGGCTTCACAGTGACGCACAGAAGCGCCTGGCAGAGAACCTGGCCCTGCCCTGCCACTGAGCGCAGCCCCCTAGTCATTCCTTTGGGGGAACTGCTCGACTTCTGCGGGTGTGGCCATGTTCTGCCTCACATCCCCTTTGTAGTTTTCCACTTCCCTCCGCCCTCATATCCCTTCCCTTAGAAGGACAAATTTTCTGCCAGCCTTGAACTTACTTTCCCTGTTACCGACACGTGCTCGTCTTGTCCCTCTTGCGCAGTGGGAGAGTCCCAACGTCTTGTGTCTCGTCTATGATGTGACCAGTGAGGAGTCCTTCAACAACTGCGGCAAGTGGCTGGAGAAGGCACGGTCACAGATTCCAGGCACCTCCCTCCCAGGTAGGAGCTGCAGACGCTCCGGCAGCACCTCTGCCGTTCAGTTCAAGAGGGCAAGGGCGTTGCAGAGGTAGCTGTGGGTGCCAAAAAGGGCCCCGGGGCTTCGAATATGGTGGCCTAGATTATACACTGGCTCTGCCTCCTAGCAGCCACGTGAGCCACAGTGCGTTGGCACACCTCTCTGTGAAATGGGAATGGCGGCACTCACCTCGCAGGGTTGCGAGGATACTCGTGCCATAACAGGAGTTGTTGTTTCCGGAAAGCTACCCCCAGGGAAGAGTTCCTCGTTTTCTCCTTATGTGGGGTACAAGTAAACATTCAAGTCCCGTTGTCACTCCAGAATGCTTTAAATCCATTTATTTTTCATCCCTATGTGAGATCAACAAATTCTCCTCATTATAGACCCGGGAAAGTGATCTCCAGAGACAGGCTCAAAAATTAGCTGCAGCTGATGCAGCTGGGAGCCGAACTAAATTACCTCTGCATCCCTGACTCCGAGCCGAGTCCTTAGATTAGTATTAATGACCCTTTTAAAGTTTGCCCCACGTCCCAGGAATTATCACAAACGCTCACATAAATTTGGCCCTCGCCTTCACGGCCTCGCGGCCTTAAGGAGACAGAGGAGACAGATACATGTGAGTTCTGGAGAAAAGGCGACCAAGAGCTGTGCGTGAAAAGCCAAGCCCACCTCTTCTCTCTGTGGGGGCCAGTGCAAGAGACCCCTGGCTGTCCCTGTGCGGTTCACCTCCTCGTGTCAGGCAGCCTCTCTCATGGGAGTTTTATGACTCTCAAAAATAGTGTGCTTGCTCTGTTGTCCTCCCAGACCACCACAGTTACATGCCACGTCGTGGTTGTTTCTTTCGAGCAGGTGTTTTAGTGGGGAACAAGGCAGACCTGGCCGGCAGGCGAGCGGTGGACTCAGCTCAGGCCCAGGCGTGGGCGCTGGGCCAAGGCCTGGAGTATTTTGAAACCTCCGTGGTGAGTACCTCTGCTTGCTCGGTGGCCGGGTCTGGACTGGGCCTCTGCTGGATGCGGTTTTCCCATGACCTCACGTCATCGAGCTGTGATTCCACCGTATGGGGAGTCTCATTTGGAACCCACGTTTGCGTTCTTAGCCCCAGACCTTTCCCAGTAGAACAGCAGTCACGCATGCATTACGGGATGGCGGGCCAGCCGGCCAGCCCTGGGAAAGTGGTATCTGAATGTGTAAGAAATATAAGTGTATTGTGCACAGTGATCGTGACCCTTGACGTTTGCACGAGAAATTATGGGTTGTGGTGGTGTTGGAACATTATTGCCTTCAACCCTCACATCAGTCCTGTGTACCAGGAGTCGGCCCCACAGTTCCCATTTCAGGTTGAGGAGGTCAAGTGACTTGCCCGAGGTCGTGTGACCAGTGAAGGGTTGAGCCAGGACTAGGATTCGTGGCTTCTAATTCCCACCAGTGCTCCCTGTCCTTGCTGCAGCCCCCGGGTGACTCCAGGCCACAAAGTACCCTCCAGAAAAATCAGCAGGAGTCCTCATTAGTGGGAAGCCAGGAGTGATTTGTTACTGGCATCTTTAGTACACCTCTACCATGATTTTGGCTGTCTAACGCTGCGGACTCTGCTCCCTACGTTTGGGAGTTTTGAAGTCCCAGCCTCCCTGCAGCCAGGATGTAGTCATGTGACCAGGTTGCCCCAGACACCTTGTGTGAGACTTCACTGGGATGGGTATCAAGTGAACGTTCACCTGCAAGAGCAGGTGTCCCAGAAACATCCATCTCAGAGCCAGCAGAGGCAAGGTACTGGCAGCCGCGCCCCTCGCCAGAGTTGCTGGGGAGACCCACTAGGCCTGGCACAGCCCTGGTTGTTAACTTGGACCTCTCTGTCCCGATTCTTTGGCCCAAAAGAATCAGTGGGCTAGTTACTATCCTGGAGGAATCTTCTACTCAGGCACTTCTGTGCTTGCATCTGTGAAACTTGACCGATACTTCTATTCAGTTGCTGTGCGGGTCGGAACTTTTAAAAGCCCCCCCCAGGCCGGGCACTGTGGCTCACGCCTGTAATCCTAGCTCTCTGGGAGGCCGAGGTGGGCGGATTGTTTGAGCTCAGGAGTTCGAAACCAGCCTGAGCAAGAGCAAGACCCCGTCTCTACTAAAAGTAGAAAGAAGTTAATCAGACAACTAAAAATATATAGAAAAAATTAGCCGGGCATGGTGGCGCATGCCTATAGTCCCAGCTACTCGGGAGACTGAGGCAGGAGGATCGCTTGAGCCCAGGAGTTTGAGGTTGCTGTGAGCTAGGATGATGCCACGGCACTCTAGCAGCCCAGGCAACATAGTGAGACTCTGTCTAAAAAAAAAAAAAAAAAGCCCCCCACACGGCATACTTCCTTAAGAACAGTGTGGCGGTTAAACGCAGGGCCTCCGACCCCCGATGGAGAGTAGCAGTACAGGTAGCATGGACCCTGCATGTTACTTAACCTCTTGGTGCCTCGGGCTCCTCGCCTGTAAAATGGGGATAATAAAATACATCCCTCATTGAGTAATAAATATGAGAAGTAAGAGGATGAATATAAAACACTTAGCATGAAATCTGGCGCACAGTAAATGTTAGCTTTTTTAAGTATAAATGTTCCCCCTAATAATCTTGTTTATACTATTATTACTCATTAAATCCTTGTATTCATAACTTACACAGAGAAAATGTCACCCTTGCCTCTGGTCCAATTATCACAAATGCTAAATTAATAAAGTTCACATTAGCGAGCTTCTCCTGCATAGAAGGTTGCTCATCCTTTGTGCAGCACACGTTTGAGCAAGGCAGTAAGCCGTAGTACCCACAGAAAACAATATTTCAGTATTCCCTCTTCCTCCATTCACATTTGTGAATTGTCCCCTCACCCCAATATCCCATATTCCCCAGAACTCTTGATAGGACTCAAAAATTAAAACCCACTTCCAACACATGAGTCACCGAAGGCCACTGGGCTGCGTGTTTAAACTCTGTTCAGGTGCTGAAACGAGTGGGTATAAATTATGCTGGAAGAGGCTGCAGTTAAGCACTTGGTATTAACTGTGCACGTTAACTAGTCCCCCCTGAGTTGACGCTCACAGAAGCGCCACTGGCAACTCGGTTAAGAAAGCTGTAATTAAAAAGGAAATACAACCAAATGCAGTCTGACATGCAGCCAAGCCCCACGCCAAGCCCGTCTCCTCTCTCTCCTTCCTGAGAGCAGCAGTGATCATCCTGCTGACCCACAGGAGGTCCCGCTGTGGTGCTTTGACTTTCTGACACTCCTCAATATTTGACATTTTCAGACCAAAAAAATTAACAGGTATTTCTTTAAACAGAAGTTAAAATTTTGTAAAAATTGTTCATCACTATAAGGAGCTGGATAGTATCAAATGCAGACAACTGCTGCAAGAATGGTCCATAGGGACCACTGAAGGCCTACTGTGTGCTCGGTGTTTTGCACACATCAGCTGTCTAGGCGTCACGACAGCCCTACCAGGCAGCACTCCTGCCCCCGCGGCGAGGTGGCGAACAGCCTCAGGAAGGGTGTGCGGCGTTGCTGGGCCGCACGGCTACCGAGGGCTAGAACCAGGACTCGGACTCAGGCCTTTCCAGCTTGAAAACTTGGGCTTTCTAGAAAGGGTGCTCTGGCCTCCCACAGAGCCTGCCAGGGACTCTCCGGGACAGAATTCCAGGCCAGACTGAGCACTAGTCCGAGCCAGCTCTAAGGATGCTTCGCTCTAACAGACACGCTACAGGTGTCCACACTTGTGAGCGAGAGTGTGATTAGTCATTTGACAGAAGGGTTCCTGTCACTGGCAAGCCTCTCAGTGCCTGTGGAAAACGGTTCCGTTTCCGTGTTTCAGCAGCTCTCCACGGTGTCTACAGAGGCTCGCCTGCACTGGATTCCTTTTTATGTTGGGTTCTCCCAAGACCGCGCTTTGGAGAGCTTTTGAATCCATTTAGAAGTCCTTGTGCGTGTGCTGTGTAGGCCGCATTCTCTTTCTGTTCGATATTACCGCTGCTTTTGACAGAGGTGGTGTTTTACTCTTTGACATTTGTGTTGCCTAGGACCTTCCGCTGTGCGTAACCAGAGGTGCCTGGGAGATATAACTGAATCCTTTCTTACGTCCAACTGAAGGGTGACGGCTTTCAGGTCCTCGGCAGTTGTGAGCTTAGTGTAGATGCTCGTCTCGGCTGTACGCTGTCCACTCCTTCCTCAGCACACTCTCAGCGTTGCCACCGCCATCCTTGCTCTCGGGCAGCTCTTTCCTTTGCTTAGGATTTCCCTTGCTAGAAAGTCCAGGTGACTTTCTCCACGGGACCTGGTTTCCTTTGCACATTTCTCGTCCCGGCTGGCCTCGTGGACAGGCGGCTCTTCTCAAATCAGGGAATCTGGATGCTAGACTGGCTCTGCACCAACCAGCTGGGCCACTTCACCCGCTGGGCCCCAGACTACTCATCTGTGAAACAAAGGCACTGAGCTTGATGAGTTCTGGAACATTCTTCACTTTGGAATTTCTTCCGTTTCATTTGGATGTTTCACTGCCTCTTATCAAGGCTGTACTTCTGCCAGCTGCCAAGGATCATTTCAAAACAGGTTCTTGTGCATTCATAGCTGGAGCTGCTGTCTTAAAAGTAGTGGGTTCTTTCTTCTGCCAACTTATTTCTCAAAAAAAAAGAGAGAAAATTAAAAACGCATGTGCACACACAAAGGGTGAGAGGGCAGCAGCTGTTTTCTTCCTTCTGCAGCCTGTGCATGCTCACCCTGGAGGGCCTGTCCCCTGGAGGCCCCCTCCCGGCCTGGCCAGCCCCGGCCTCACCTTGATTCTTTCCAGGCCTCGGTCCAGCAGCAGCCTGGCCTCCCAGAGCTCAAGCTTTCTCTTAAAAGCCTCCCACTGACTCCACATGAGGGAGAGGCGCCCCTCCCCAGGGGAAATGCTACAGCGCTAGCCACTTTCTTGAAGTTCTCTCCTCTGGCTTCTTCAACCCTGACCTGGAGGTAGAGGGGGACCGCCACCCCCTGTCTGGCTCTTCCTTGGGAGCAGGAGGTTCCTTGCCGTCTGTTACTTTGTTTTGCCGTTTGGAGCCTCCATCAAAACTGAGTGAGGAAGGTCTCGTTTTAACATCCTGTCCCACATACCGTGAGAGTGGCTGAAAGTGCAGGCTCTATAGAAACAGACCTGTGCTGAGGCCCCAGCGCCACCATTTGCAAGGTGCGTGGCTTGCTGTAAATTACCTTAATCTGTCCGCGTCTCAGTTTCGTTCTTGTAAAATCGGCGTAAGGACAGTACTACCGCAGATGGTGCGACGAGGGGCGAGGCAGGGGGCGGGCGCGCCTGACGCAGGTAAGCGTTGAGTGAGTGCTGGGGGTCTTCGATGGCTGGGAAAATAACGGCCGCCTTTCTGAACCGTCCCGACAGAAGGAGATGGAGAACTATGAAGCGCCTTTCCACTGTCTGGCCAAGCAGTTCCGCCACCTGTACCGGGAGAAGGTGGAAGTTTTCCGCGCGCTGGTGTGAAGGGGTGAGTGGATCGCTCCGCACGGGGGAGCGGCGGGTGCTGCGGCGAACCTGGCCTGCGCTCCGTCTCCTTGGAAGAGGAGAGAAGATGGAATTGCCTCTGTGCCTCCAATATATCATGACAGCTTTAAATAAAATTAGGAGACAATGTAGAAGCAGCAGCTCCTTCCGTTCTTGGCCAGGGCAGCCCTGGCTCCGTTTTGCACTTGGGCTGCTGCGGTGCCGTCGGTGCCAGAGCAGCCCAGGAGCCCCTCTCGGAACCCCGGCAGCGCCCCCTCCTGCGGCGCGCTGGTGCTGCAGGTCCTCGCCTTGCTAGAGTGGGTGTTCCTGCCCACCCTGCGCGCGCGGCCCGGCGACTGCGTGTGCAAGCCTCCCTGCCGGGCCTTCCACTGAGAAGGCAAACCCCGCAGAGGGTTTAGAAAGGGCCTGGACCGGCTTGTGACTTCCTGTTAAAACGCTCAGCTTGGGACTTGCCCCGGAGCTGGGATGGGGCTGATGGCCTCGCCTATTCTAACCATTCGGTTTTGCTACCTGCTCCCGGGTACCCAGATGCCAGAGCTCCCTTGAGGTGGCTACTGTCACCGACAGAACAGTGCCCTCTGCCGGCCGGCCTTGGTGCCCGTGTCTTAGTGGAGGGCCAGCCTCTCCCAGCTGCCGGGAAGCCTGAGCGCGCAGGGGGCCAGAGCCCGGCCACTTTGCTTTAATGAGCCGCCTCTCAGGGAGCCCGGCAGCAGCATCCTTCCCTGCACTCAGCTGGACTGTTTTCCGTCCTGTCTCTGCTGCCAGATTAATCTTCCTAAAACACCAGTCTCGTCGTCTCACTCCCCTGATTAAAGACCACAGAGGTTCCTGGTTGCCTTTTACATCAGCCCACGGCTGCGGTCTGGCATCCAAGGCCTTCTCTGACTGTCACCTCCGGCACGGTGCGGGGGCGGGGGGCGGTCTTGGCTTCTTTCAGCCCCTGTGCCCAGAGGGCCTCATCGCCCCGGGGTGGGGGGACGTGGTGCAGAGATTGCCGGCTTTAGGGTACACAGACCTAGGTTCGTCCCGACGATAGCGACAATGATGGAAATTACTCTGGTCCCCATTTGCGACCCGCCATGTCTCTACACAAGCTAAGCACATCACATGTATTAGTTAATTTTGTCCTTACAACGTGGAGTGTTGTCACCCCACTTTTATAAATGAGGACCTGGAGTCAGAGAATTTCTAAGAAACGCAGCCAAGGGACGGCAGAGCCAGGATCGCGGATGCTTCGGCCACCTCCTGAGCTCGGCCAGGAGCAGGTGGAGGCCAGCCTGCCTCTCAAGGTCATCGTGAGAAGTGAAATAATGGGCGTCCGGGCATCCGGACACCTGGCATCAGCCGAGGTCAGGCCCTCGCCCCCTTCCTCTCTGTCACTGAGCGTGAAGCCGCGCGGCCACGGCAGTCTTCCTGCCACGTCACTCCTTCAGGAAATAGGGCCTGCGATGCGCCGAGCGTTTTTCTGGGCACCAGCAACACCAAGCTGCTGTTCTCGTGTCACGTGCTCCAGAAGGGAGGCCCACCGTACCTGAGGGGACACGGAGGGACGCGTTTCCAGTTGCCCCAGAATTGGTCACTGTGGCCCACAGCTGTGGGCAAGGAGATGCTAAGTAAACCGCTTCCTAAAGAGGTCACGAAAAGTTAAGGCCAGGCCCTTCCCTGTGGCCTGGTAGAAGCGGCCGCATTGGCCTGGCTGCCGTGAGCCACCCAGCCCCTCCGCTCCCCGCTCTTCCCTCTGTGCAAGCCTGGAGCGGCGCAGAGAGAAAGGACTGAGGGCGGACGGTGTTGGCGAGTGGGCGCCCCCCCCGCCCCACTTTCCCCTGCCCCCGGAGCCAAGTGAAAGAGGCCCCAGGAGAATCCTGGGACCGAGGAGGCTGCCAAGGAGAGGAGGCTGGCACGGCACACCCCAGCCGGATGCTTGCTGAGCTGCAGGAACCCGATGCCAGCTGCAGGCACAGGGTGGTGAGGTGTCCTTGGGGCGCCCAGCACACAACCCTAGAGTCGTGCTTGGCTCGCTCCGGGTGATCCCGATGGGAGGGGCGTGGGGAGAAGCTTGCACCAGCAGCGGGAGGGCAGGGGCTGTATGCGGAAGGGGGCAAGTAAGTACGTGCTCCCAAAGAGGGTCCTGTAGGACACGTGGGAGCAGTCATGCGTCCAGACAGGTGCTGGGCAGGGAGCCGCCTCCCACCTGGAAGAGCGCAGGGGCCTGTTCCACGGGCAGCCCAGAGGGGGACGTGGCCGCCCGCTCCTGAGGAGACCCCAGCAAGGGAGGAGGCTCAGCCTCGAACAACCAGGCACCCATCTCCACGGAGGGGGCAGCAGATGGAACCAGGCGAGGGGCAGGCCTGTGAGGAAACATGCGGCTCATCCCCGGTCCCTGTGTTCCAGGTCCCCTCTCTTCCAGGAGAGAAAGAGAAAAAGATCTTGCTCCCCTCCCCACCCTTCTGGAAAAGAGGTTTGAATAAAGACTGGGAGTTCTGAACTGGCCTGGTCTGTGTTTTAATGACTAAGTGCCCAAAACGTGTTGGACGGACCCAGCCCGAAGGGGCCTCGGCAGAGTGTGACACAGTGAGGCAGTTAGGACAAGTAACATGGGTCAGCTTTGGAGCCCACTGAGTTGAGATTCCCTAGTAAACTGGTTCTATAAGTAATGAAATGTTTCAGATCATTTCAGACAATGCAGATGATAAAATGGAGCTGTGATAGGAAGTGATTTGTGGGGTAACTGGGTTGGGTGGGCAGGAAGGACCCTGAGAAGAAGTGATATTTGAGCTGAGATGTGACGGCCACATGAGCATCTAGAGGATGAGCCATCCAGCAAGGATGGCATGTGCAAAGGCCCTGAGGCACGAACAAGCTTAGAACGTCAAGGAACATAAGGCCAGTGAAGCCATCGTCTGCTATGTGCCAGAAAAGCAAAGGGAGGACAGGGTCCACAGTGGGAGGAATTGGGATTTTATTCCAAAGACAACAGCAAGCCAGTGGAGGACAGACATCATAGCTTTTTATCCTCATAGTGCCGGCCCTATTTGGAACCTAGCAAGTGACTGTTAATTACCTCACTTGCCTGGAGACCCTGTTCTCAATGAGCAAACATTTACGAAATGCATGCTGTGTCTGCAGGCTTCATTCTTGAATGAGTGTATTTGCTGAGCGAATGCTTAAATCAAGCATTTGCTGAGCACCTACTGTGTGCCAATCCCTGTTCTAGGTGCTGATGATTTGTCAGTGAATAACACAAAAAACCCCACTCTCGGGGCTTGCGTTCTAGAGGGATGAGAGAGGTGTTCAATCGAACAGGTAAACGATGCAGCCTGTCTGGTGGCAGCAGGCCAGGGGTGGGGCGAAGTATTAAATGGGGAAGTCAGGGAAGACCTCACTGCGAAGGTGACGTGTAAGCAGGATTTGGAAGAGGTCAGAGCACCTGGCACTTTGTAGGTATGCATGGTTCGTTGCCCCCCAGAGGTGGAGCTTGACCTCCTCCTTGCACAGGGCCTCAGTGAGACAAGCACGGGCTGTGTGCGGACACTGGGGGACACAGAGGGGACTAGGACTCGGTCCCTGCCTGAGAACCGCATGGATTGCAAGAGAAAGGTGAGTCAACACTTGATTTCCAAACTCCAGTGGAACCCAAAAAGTGCCCCAGCCAGCCTCTCCCAAATGCCGTGGGAGGGCAAAGAGCCGCCCCCCTGTCTCCTGCAGGATCGAGGAGGAGGGTTCTGTTCATCGTCCTCCAGGTGGTCCAGGGCCGGGGCCTGGCCTGGCCTGTTGTCGTCCAAGGCTGCGTGAAGCCGGCCCTTCTGCAGCATCTTTGGCTGCCTCTGGACCTCATAAGGTTCCCTGCCGAGAGGGCGGGGAAGCCCAGGTGAGGGGGGTACACAGAAACAATGCCTTTCCTGCTGAGTCCTTTGTTGGGGTTCCGCCACCACAGAAAGTCCCCCCTTCAGGTGTGGATGATACGAGAGGCAGCACCTCAGCGGGTTTTCCTGGACCCTTGGTTTCGCCAGGACGGTGTTTGCCTTGAGAGTAGCCCTGTAGTTTTCCATGGCTGGGGAAGGCACGTTGGTTAGACCGTCTTCTGCGAGGAAACTTGGGGGCAGGAGGCAGCCTGCTGCAGTGTCTATAAATAAAATACATCCATTTTCTTGCTAAAATGTTGTGTTTTTAAAAATGGAATATTGAAAACTAAAAACTTCCCAGCCCGAACTAGGGTGAGAGTAAGCACAGGTCCAATTAGCCCAGGGTGGGAACTGAAAACTATGCTAGGCCACCTCTATTGCAGGATTTCTGTCCACGCTGGAGGTGTGGTTTTGCACCTGTGCTTCCCATCCCAGCCTTCCTCTCTGTGCAGATCCTGCCGCACACTGGGGATCAAGGATGACTGAGGTGGTGTCCCGGAGGAGCTCCAAGTCTGCTGGGCAGGGAGGGTTTCCAGGGACCTTGCAGGGAAATAGCTAATGCTAGCCCGGGAAGAGAATTCCAGACAAAGAGAAGCAAAGCATGTGCAAAGGCCCTGAGGCATGAAGCTGGGGGCCCTCTTGGGGGACTGCATCCAGTGCAGGGTTGGGGGATGGAGGGGTGCCCAGCAGGTGAGGGGTTGGAAACAAGGACAAAGCAAGAACATGGAGCTCTTCCTACCCAGAGCAGAGGAGTTGGGCTTTTTCCAGAAGAGAGTGGGGAACCATTAAAGGGTGTTTACAGAAGTGACTCACCTGGATTCCTGCTTTAGGAAGATCAGCCTGGAGGAGTGGGAGGATGGGGTGGGAGAGGAGGTGCCCGGGGGCAAGGAGAGCAGGTCCAGCCAGAGCTGATGGGGGCAGGTTGGGACAAGGTCTTGGCCGTCTCCAGCATTAGCAAAAATTGCGGAAACACGTTTTCAGCCCAACTTAGAATTGTCTTCACCCCCGACACACCCGTTCTTTTTCCTCAGAACACCAATTGATTTTTAAAGTGTGTTATCCTTTATTTACTTCTGAGACTGAGAAAACACAGAGAGAGTGACTTCCTCGGTTGCGAATTGTTGGTGATGGAGCCAGGATTAAGAACTCGGGCTTGCCGGCCTCTGTGGATCGTCTGATATTTGTGTATACGAGGCCCGTTCACTCTCCCGCCCTGCCGGTAAACAGA